AAACATTTTATAACTATATTACTCATATACTTTTACTAATCGAAAGATTTTAATGATAAATTATTATTTATGTTTTTTTAAAACCAATAATATTTATATTTTCATTTAAACATTCTTACATATATTTCTTTATACATTATGTTCACAATTAAAAATAAATCTTAAAATCAAATAATATTTTCAATTATATAAAATTAAGAAGTTTACTTGATTAATATTTAGTTATGTATTTTCTATTTTTATTAAAATATATTTTTAGATAACAACACAATATATATATATGAATTTTCTTATTTAAATACATATTATTTAGATTTTGGATAATTCTTATGATTATTATTAGTTTTAATTACTTATCTAATTAAAATAATTAAAATTCGTTTTTATTTTGTATGTAATTTATATATTATTTTCATTAAGGGTATAAACGATATTAACCACCCTAACTTTTAACGTGAGAGCTCCGTTGCGAAAAATCACTTCGCAAATAATAGTATAGATTTATATATTATTTTCATTAAGGGTATAAACGATATTAACCACCCTAACTTTTAACGTGGGAGCTCCGTTGCGAAAAATCACTTCGCAAATAATAGTATAGACTAGGTGTTTTGCCCGCAGTTGCGGGCCTAAACATTTTATAACTATATTACTCATATACTTTTACTAATCGAAAGATTTTAATGATAAATTATTATTTATGTTTTTTTTAAAACCAATAATATTTATATTTTCATTTAAACATTCTTACATATATTTCTTTATACATTATGTTCACAATTAAAAATAAATCTTAAAATCAAATAATATTTTCAATTATATAAAATTAAGAAGTTTACTTGATTAATATTTAGTTATCTATTTTCTATTTTTATTAAAATATATTTTTAGATAACAACACAATATATATATATGAATTTCCTTATTTAAATACATATTATTTAGATTTTGGATAATTCTTATGATTATTATTAGTTTTAATTACTTATCTAATTAAAATAATTAAAATTCGTTTTTATTTTGTATGTAATTTATATATTATTTTCATTAAGGGTATAAACGATATTAACCACCCTAACTTTTAACTTAGTTTTAATTACTTATCTAATTAAAATAATTAAAATTCGTTTTTATTTTGTATGTAATTTATATATTATTTTCATTAAGGGTATAAACGATATTAACCACCCTAACTTTTAACGTGGGAGCTCCGTTGCGAAAAATCACTTCGCAAATAATAGTATAGATTTATATATTATTTTCATTAAGGGTATAAACGATATTAACCACCCTAACTTTTAACGTGGGAGCTCATTTGCGAAAAATCACTTCGCAAATAATAGTATAGATAGATTGTCCTTCTCAAGTTTGCTCCAAAAGCCAATAGAACCGACTGTGAGTTCTCTCTCGATTTTTTTCATGTAAGATCTGTTTCTTATCGGCCTGAAACCCTAACAAGTTGGGATATTTTCGATCAAGACTTTTACTATGTGTTAATTTTTTATATAAAATTTAGGGTTTTGTCTCGTGATGGGGTACGATAGAATAAGCGCACTGCCGGATTCTTTGATAACTGAGATACTCTTATGGCTTCCAACCAGAGATTCCGTTAAGACAAGCGTTCTATCGACCAGATGGAGAAACCTCTGGCTTGATGTTCCAGGACTTGATTTACACCCCAAGGACTTGGATAGTTTCTCCAACACTAACAACTTCGTTAACAGCTTTCTGAATTTAAACCGTCAGACACGCCTCCAAAAGTTCAAGATTAACTATAATAAATATAACTCACTTGTAAATCTCTCTCAAATAACGGAGTGGATCGTCACAGCTGTTGATCATCGAGGGATTCAGCATCTAGATGTTGAGGACCAGAATGCAAAGTGTTACAATTGTTTCTTGCCTGTGAATATTTATCAGAGCAAGACACTGGTGTCCTTGAAACTCCAACACGTGGTAGCGCCTAAGAATCCAGAGTTTGTTTTTTCTCTACCTTGTCTCAAGATCATGCACCTTAAAAGAATTCGTTACGGTGAAGGTGGGCAGTTATTTATGGAGAAGCTAATCTCAGCCTGTCAGGTTCTTGAACAACTTAATATAATAAGATATCAATTTGGTTCAGGAAAGACCCTTCGTGTGAGGTCTCAGACTCTGAAGATCTTATATTTAACATTTCAATCGGTAAGGAGTGGTACTAAAGATTCGGTGGAGATTGATGCTCCAAGACTTAAGTATATGAGTTTTAGTGATACAATTGTGGTGAAGAATCTAAATTCCTTGTTCAAGATAGACATTGATACTGACTTTAATATCAAGCCTCCTATTTCTGTATCGGAGGTTTTAGGTAATAGAGATCTTATACATGAGTTTCTCACGGGTATTGTTAGTGCGACACATATGATCATCTCTCAGCCTACTCTAGAGGTATATTTTTTTTTGTCTCGTTAATTATGCTGTTACAAATTATGAGGAATATTACAAACTCTATAAGTATATTATTGTGACACTTTCACATTTATTTTTATATGAAAAGATTCTCACCTCTAACCTTGTCTACTTCTTCTTGCAGGTCCTATATTATTATTCTAAACTAGGACCGTTTCCCGAGTTCCATAACCTATCTCATTTGCAAGCTGCATTCTCCAGCTCATCATTACCACTGTTGTCAGTTTTTCTTGAGAGCTGCTCGAATCTGAAAAGCCTCATCTTGGTAAGAATCAAAACTTGAGGCTATGATTTTTGTCATAGTGGAACTATTGTAATGATTGAGCTTCTTTTTTATTTTGTTTTGTAGGACTTTTCTGTTTCAACGGAGTCAGAGCAGAAGATGGATCTCACCGAGGTGCCTCAGTGTTTAATATCGACTTTGGAGCATGTTGTGATTAACAAACTGAATATATGGGAGGGACCTGGGATGAAACTAGCGACTTACTTTCTTATGCATTCAGCAGTTCTCAAGAAACTCAATCTCAATGATTCTCATTTGACCAAACAGGACATAGATTTCTACAATGACCTTTTTACATTGATAAGACGTTCTCGAAAATGTCAAGTTTTCTTTGACGACATGCCGTTGATAATGCTGGGGAGAAACTGAGCAACATTAGTTTGGGAACTAAAAACTCTTGTCATTACTTTTCTCTAGAGATAATAATTTTAATGCTTTAGATTCTCTTGTACTATTTGCTTTCAGTCTCAGATTTGGAGAACATTAATGATCTTTGCATCCGCTGTTATACATATATACTGAATTACTGATATACTGTATTGATGTTGACTTTCAAGGTTCTTTGTTATCTTTTTACTAGAAAAACTGTGGAAAATAGATTCTTCTCATAAACATATACACACTCTTTTGGTGACAATTTGAGGAATCTGGAGAGAGTACTGGAGTGAGCCTGAAATAATCAAGAAATGAAAAGAAGCTCGGAAATGGTGTAGAGTGATATTTTTGTTTTGAAGATTGGCTCCTATCCTACTCTCGACCTAGGGATGCCCTTAAACCTAAAGCGAATCAGCCTGCGTACTTTGGGCCTTTTAACGAGAAGATTACTTACAAGTTACACTCATGGACTGCTAGTCTGCAAAGTTCCTTTCCTTCCCCAGAAAAATACATAGTACATCAAAATCCTAACAATTAAGTTCAAGCGCGCATTCTCCAATTAAATGTCATTCAAATGACAAGAAGAGCATTAATAGTCTTATGTAAAGATAATTTAGTTAAAGAATTTATCTATCAACAAGAACCTACACCCGTCTATTAAGAATATCACTTTTGAAAATTCTCAATACATGTTCATCCATTTTATGCATCGTTTTTATCAACAAAAAGGTGGATTATTATAATATAATTCAAGATATATAAGCTTCAGCTTACACCATCTCCAATGTATTTTTCTATTTTTACCTTTAAAATAGAGGACTTTATAACAGAGATGGGTTTTGTTCCAATGTATTTCTCTAAAATAGAGATTTTCAAATATAGAGTAAAATATAGAGAAACTATATTTCTTCCTCTATAAATAGAGAGAAAATAGCAATTTCTATTTAGAAGTGAAAATAGAGATGGATTAGAATAATTTTATCTCTAAATGTTATTATAGAGGTAAATATAGAGGAGGGGAGGAGATCCTCTAACTCAAAATGTCCATACAAAATTATTTATAAGATTGTGACTGTGAACGTGATTAATTGATTAGTCTCTCACAACCATGTACCATGAGAACATACAAATTATTATTATTTATTTAAACTAAACAAACACTTTTTTTTGTAACTAAACAAACACTTATAAGACATGACACACAATCAAAAATAAGAAACTAAAAACTTATTGTTACAAGAAAACAATAATAGAGAATATACTTTTCTTAGCAAGGGGTTCACAGAGAACAAACTTTAAACCAGAAATAGACATGTAGTTTATTTGATTTAGATCCATTAAGCTTAGTTTAGGGCGTTACTGCAGCGGACGAATTGCAACACCTTTGACTACGAGCCCGCTCTTAAGGTCAGTGTCCACTAGGGCTGGGCATTTTATCCGTTATATTTGATTCGATTCGTTATTCGTTTCGATTCGATCCGAAAATTCCGGATATCCGTAAACTTTCGAATCAAAGCAAATACTAAAATTCAATATCCGTTAAAATCGAAGCAAATCACAAATAGTAAATTTTTGAGAAGCGGATATCCGATCCGATCCGTAAATATATAAAATATATGTATATCTTGATTATATTTAACATTTTAAATGTAGAAAATTATATAGTTATTATTCTAGCATATGATTTTGAACAATTCTATTTAAATTATTACTTATATAAAAGTATTACATAAAAAGAAAGAAAGAAAATTATGACAATTATATTTTTTTTCTTAAATTTTGTGTTATTATAATTGTAACTTAAGCTTAAAAGTTTACAAAATATATAAATTCACTAGTTCTTTTAAGTTTTATTTTATATATCATGCAAAAAACTTTTTTGCAAAGCAAATTTGTATCAAAATCTTAAGATTATTTGTATTAATCAAAATGGATGAGATATCCGTAAATATTCGTAAATATCCGCAAATATCTATTTATTTTCCGGATATCCGTTTTTCCGGATATCCGTACTTTTTCGAAGCAAAGCAAATACCAAAATTAGATATCCGTAACATTCGAAGCAAATCACAAATACCTTAAAAAACCCGGATATCCGATCCGTGCCCACCCCTAGTGTCCACATACTGATGCATCGAGAAAAAGATCTTTGCGTCCTCTTTTGTCGGTGTTGCCTCAAATTCTCCGACATGAATATCCACCCAATGTTCTCCTGTGTACTCATCCAAGTATAATGCCTTATCGTGCTCCTTCTCGATTCCATTGTGCATGACCTTCATATTTAGAGCCACCTGTTTCTTCCATCCCAAAGCTTTGTCATTTAGGCTCACAAGAAACACTACCTCGTACTTTGTCCCCGGTGTCAATTTTCTGGTGTGAGTGTTAATCATCGTGACAATTTCAATGTCTGCTTTGCTGAGAATGCATAATTAGAATTTAGTACAAAGTGATGAAAATAAATCAGATGATTACGCATCATATATGTTGATTTTGCAGTATATTTGTATAGTTTCTCTTACATGCATTATATTTAATATATGATTTTATTATCTACATAATTGGCTATACTTACAATGAGATAAAAACGGATTATATGTTAAGTATTTTACTAATTCCAAATACATAATAATTAATTCCATATTAATTAACCTACTTTTTAGGATTTTTTCTTATTAATTATATACTTATTTTTAAATAGTTAATGAAAAATATTGTTTTCAAAGATATATAATTATATTTTTATTATTTATAAGTAATAACTAAAATAAAAGTCACAAAAAGAAATATTTATGTAATACATAGATTAATATAAATATATTATGTTACAAATATTTTCATATAAATAATAGGCCAAGGTAAATTCAGCATAATAAATGTTAAAAAGTAGAAATATATGGGACCATATATTTTAAATAGTATATACAACAATTTAGTCATACATTATCAAAAAAATTTGATACACAAAAATAAAAAATATATTTCTGCAGATATACGGATCATATTTTAAAAATAAGGATGATACAATTAATGGTTTACAAGATAAAATAAAATTACTCGATAATAACTATAAAATTTTGTGTTTAAAATTTTATATAAAAAATTATTTAAACTGGATAAATTTAAAAATATATATCATCACTTATAAAAATATAAAAATAAACACCTGCGCAGATGCGCGGATCAAACAACAAACCTTTCGGTAATCTTCTGTCAAAATTAAATTCATAAGTAATTTGTAATCGCTTACATTTAATTGATACTTTCATTTTATTATTTTACAAATTTTAATCCAAATGTTTTATATATTGAAAATTTTATAGAAGTTGAACATTAGGTTTTTTCTTAGAAATGTTATAGCTAATTTATCATTTTTACCATACTAACTCTTACTTTTCAAGATCTGATGTATCTTTAATCAAAAAATATTTTCAATATAGCGTATACATGTTAGATTTGTTTATATGATACCAAATATCTGTGATATAATAAATTGTTAACACACAAAAAACTACTCAATATAATATGATTAATTTTTATAAAAACATTATTTAACACAAAAAATTAAAAAGATAAAATTAATACCCGTGAGATCGCACGGATGAAGGTCTAGTATAACTTTAAACCTAAAACACTAATTCTGCTAAGCAGAAATGTTATCTATTTTAAGATATGGAGGAATAAATGTAAATTTGGATCAATAATTAAAACCTTTTACTATTTTATATAATAAAAATACAGTACTCCAAGTTGCGGTAAATGCTTTTGCTTTTTTTTCTTATAAACAATTCTTACTATGTTCTGTCGTAGATAGAACTCCACATCCATTTTTCAGGATTATCAGAGTGAGTAATGTCAAGTCTTCTTGCAGGGACCAAAAATCCTCCAAGGAGATTAGATGGGATTATTGGGTTTCTCCTCACGGCGATATGCGAAAGCAATCTCTGAATCTCGAAAACCATTGAGTCTATGAACTGTCTTTCGTTGTTGTCACTGCATTCAATACGAATGGGAGATGTTAACAAGCTTGTTCATTCTATTTACGTGATTCGTTACAAGGAACAGTTTTCATTTTCAAAGTATACTTTGGACATACTAAGAATATGAGTTTGTAGATTTATCTACTTGAAGACTGACGAATATTAGTATATATACTTCAGTCGCGTAATTCTTCACGAAAAAAGAAAATGAAGGAGAAAAAGATAAAAAATAAAATAGGTTAGAGTTAACCTCTTTTTTGCCAAGGACATGCCATTTATTTTAGATATAGACTTTAAAGCCTCCTCCCATTTGCAAGTCCTTTCTGGCTCATGTACAAAACTCCGCTTCAGAGCCCTGAAAGTGTCACCAAATTTCCCTCTAAGTTCTTGCACCGCTGAAGGTGCAAGTTTGTAGAAGATGGGAAACACACTGAGACTGCCTCGATCCTTGCAGTCCCGAATCATGGCCAGCTCATCCAAGCACCATTCTGATCTTGTGTAAGCCTTAGAGAAGATCACTACCGCGACCCTCGACTCTTCGATCCTCAACAAAAGGTTATCCATGTTTGTACCAACCACTTCATCCTTGTCTACGAAGACGTTTATATTCGCATCCTTCAAGATAGGCAAGAGAAAGGCGACGAATCTGTTGCTCACATTTGGTCCCCAGAAGTTGATGAACACTTGAGGCCCCTTTGAGGTGGGCCTCACAGCAGAAGAAGAAGAACAAGAAGAAGAAGAAGAAAAAGAAGAAGAGGCAACAGCCATGAGAAAGCTTTTTGTTTATGCAAAAAAGAGAGTTTTATTTGATTGCAGTTTGACCTATTGTGTTTTGTCAAGTGCTTTGAACGTAAAGCTAATCCAACGTCTTATATACTTGAAATCTCGTAATAATGTTAATGTGTAAGTTGTCAACATGCAGTTTACTAAAACAGATAACGTCCTGTCTTCGAGATTTGACTTTTATATCTATTGCTATCCTCGGTTTAAAACCGAATATTTTATAAGATGGCTAATTTTGTAGCGTATGTAAGTGGTTAATAAGAATCAGTCTACCACTAGGTCCTTGAACAACATGCATACTTAAGCGAATATTATTTAGTTACATAACTGAATTCTAATTACTTGGTATATGTCTGATTGGTTGGACGTGCATGAATGTATCTTAGTCTCCCATATCCTTCCTTACATTATAATCCAACTACCAACGACCTCCCATATTCATAAAGTCTTTCCATATGTTAATCACATAATATCCAAGGTTCAGATTAATAATTACAACTGTGAATATGTAAAATCTTTATTATAGAAAGATAACTGGACTTGTTCATAACTTTTTTTTTCATTCAAAACCGAGCTTTCGAACGCGGTGAGTCCAGAATGGCATGTAAACTGTCATTATTCCATGAATCTCAAATGATATAATCTTTTAATTAATACAGTTTTATTATCCAAAAGAATAATATTCCCTCGATTTCAAAATGTTTCATGTTTTAGAATTTTCAAACTTATTAATAAAACATATCAAATTTTGGTTATCAATAACATTACTTTTTCGTAATTAACTATTCTCCCTAAAAATTATGTTTTTAAAGTTTACAATTTATTATTAATTAATGCATTGAAAAATATAAAAAACGTATCTTTTTAAAATGATTTATATCTGAATCTTATCAGAAAGGAGAGAGTATGTTTTAACTACTTGATTCAAACATTTCAAGATTTATGGCAATTCAAGATTTTATTGTGATTATTTACAAAAAGGTTTAAATACACTATATAGTTTTAATTATAAAAGAATTAACAAGGAAAAAAATTTTATACTATTAAAATAGAAATCATAATTTCTTTATGTTTCTTTATGCGTGATTATCTAAAAAAAATAAACATTTCCTAGAAATTCATGTTTCATTTATTACTTACATTTTGGCATCATTAATACTATATTGTACTATCTTATAGAATCTATTATAATAACAACTTCACCCATAAAATCGGTTTTGTTTATTAAATTATGGTTTCACAAATTGGATCATATAATATACTCACAATCATAGTAAATTAGATCCATAGTAATATAGTGTATATTCTCGATCATAGTAACATTTTCTCCTATACAAACATCTTGATTTATCAGTGTTACACAAAAAAAAATCATCTTGATTTATATACTTTATTACTTAATCTAAATCAGACCTAACTGGTTCTTAATAAGTTTGACAGTCGTTTCTTATCCATGATTGGGACAAAATATCACCTCTGCCCTATACGACCGGTTCTGTTTATGTAGTTAATAAATTAAACAAAATCAGACCTAATCGGTTTTGACCATCATTTGTGATATATTAATATGGGATTATCACCAAATCAGTTCTCTTAACACAAAATGCAACATTCGAAACTATTTATTTAACATTCTTAAAATCATCCTAAACCACCGGTTGTATACTTTCTTAATACTATATGCGTAAACCATACATTATAAGACCACCGGAATTCATTCTCTCCGGGGAATGGTTTACCATTTTTTTAAGATTTTTTTTTTTACATTATAAGACCTGAACAAACATTTTGCAAATTTTTATACATGATTCATTTTGATAATTCAAGAATCTGATAACGGGATTAAAAAAAAGAAGACAAGTAACTTCGTCATTGTTTGGTGTTGTTGCTGTCTAGCGGCTACCACATCAAGAGCCGCCGATACTGAAATTTAAGGGGTCATAAGTGTTATTAAATATATCAACTAATCTTTTTATACAAATGTGGGAATTAAATGTGTGCAAAAACCTAGAATGACAACTAAAGTGAAACGGAGGGAACAATAATTAGGGGTCCAATTTTTATATATACATATTTTTAGAAAGAAAAAAATAAATGGTTTTAGATTCATAAGAACCCATAATTTTATATGTATACTGTTTATCAAATTCTATAAAGCAAAAAAAGTTTATAAAATTCAAGGTTTAAGGGTTCAATTTTATTTTTTGTCCTAGGGTTATGTAAATTTATTGAGCCGGGCCTGGTCACATCCTGCCGTTACAACAACAAATAAAGCAACGGAAGAAGGGTACAAAGTACATTGACGAGTATCTACAAAGATTTATGTCTCTGGTTTAATCGATCGGAGGGAATTCAGGAAACACAATTATAACGTGTTGTCAGGTTCACGTATTCATTATTTTCTTCAGGAAACGTGGTGAGATGAAACACCCTTAAACAAAAACCAATAGTATTTGAAACATTACAATATAAAAAAGAAAAACAAGGAAGTAAGAAACTTTGTGTTACAAAACAATAACAGAGTACAAACATTTAACCAGAAATAGACATGCATTTTATTTTATTCGGAATGAAACATAAATATAGGTAGATTCAATATGCTTAGCTTTTGTGAATTACTGCGCGGGACGAATTGCAACACCTTTGACCACGAGCCCGCTCTTTTGGTCAGTGTCCACATATTGATGCATCGAGAAATATATCTTTGCGTCGTCTTTCTTTGGTGGTGCCTCAAATTCTCCGACATGAATATCCACCCAATTTTCGCCTATGTACTCGTCCAAGCACAATTCCCTATCGTGCTCACTCTGGCTTTTATCGGCCATGACCAACTTCAGCGTTAGGGTCACTGTAACAACCCAGTACCGGCCCAATTATTTTTAAGAGACTAATGGGTCTCTTTACGGCCCAATTGCCCATAAACCCTAGGGTTTCCTGCAACTCACTATAAAAAGGCTGCAGCCTCCTCCTTTTCTCTTATTTTGCAAACTGGAAGCGAAGCTCTGCAAAGAATTCCCGGAGACCGGAAGCCCTAGCCGTCAGCCTCTCNTGTAACAACCCAGTACCGGCCCAATTATTTTTAAGAGACTAATGGGTCTCTTTACGGCCCAATTGCCCATAAACCCTAGGGTTTCCTGCAACTCACTATAAAAAGGCTGCAGCCTCCTCCTTTTCTCTTATTTTGCAAACTGGAAGCGAAGCTCTGCAAAGAATTCCCGGAGACCGGAAGCCCTAGCCGTCAGCCTCTCTCTCTCTCTCGCCGCCGCCCTCTCTTCTCTCTCTCTCCGCGCGTCTCTCTCTTCTCTCTCTCTCTCTCCTCGCCGCCTTCCTCTCTCTCCCTCCTCGCCGTGAGACGGTGGTGGTGGTGTGTGTGTGTGTGGAGATTCTCAGATCTCATCTCTTCCCCTCTTGTTCCCTGATCTCAGATCTCTTGCTAAGGTGAGGTGATTCAAACCCAGATCTGTCTTCTTAATCTCTATTCTGACTGATGCGGGAATTAGGGTTTGGATAGTCCTTGTTTGAAAGTTAAGTTGATAGATCATAATGGGAGTTAGGTTGTTAGATGAATGAATCATGATGCATAAGAACCTTCACACTGTTTAAACGGGACTTAATGAACTGCCTTGTGTTGATGTGGATAATGATTGGTATGAATGATTGTGTGATGGATTTGTGTCCCATTCTATGATGATGAATGAAAGCTAGGTTGTTAGAAAGAAGTGAATGCTTAAGTTGATAGATTTGTTAGTTGGTAACCGTTGTTATTAATGATGAATGTAAAATGACCTGCCTATAGTTTCTAAAGTTAAAGATAGATGAATATGAAGTGATATCTCTTGGTCTTGATGTATAAGAATATGAATGCTACGTGAATTGTGTGGGACACCGATAACGGGTGGCGTCTAGAGTTGAGTATAAGAATGTAAATAAGAATGACTTAAAGTGAGTTAAGTATGAGGATGAGAATGATAAGAAGTATGAGTACGAGTATGAGTGTGAGTGCAAGTACATATATGAGTATGAGTATGAGTATGAGTATGAGTATGAGTATAAGTATGAGTATGAGAAAGTGAATGAGAATGTGAATGAGAATGAGAACGTGTAAGAGAATGAGAAAGTGGATAAGAACATGTATGAGGGTGAAGTCGTGTCAATGAACTTGTTTGAAGTCCTGTTTGGACCACCGAGAACGGGTGGGCGTCTAGAGTCTAGGATGTGTAACCTGCGGGACAGTAGCCTAACACGAGGTACCCGCAGGGGGCCCACGGGACAGTAGCCTAACACGAGGTACCCGTGGGCGAGAAGTGAATGGCCGTGCAAGGACGGCGTACGCAGAAGAGACCTCCGGGAGGGACCTGCGGGATAAGAAATAGGCGCCTTAAGA